TACTTATTAACAAATAACTCGTACAAAAACGCCTGATAATTATGCACCAACTCAATATTAAGTCCATGAAGACGAAAATACGTTTATCGGCAAAAGAGGTACCTCAAGATTTGAGTTAATTATTGGAGATGTCAAAATAAAACAGCTACAGATATTTAAATATCAGGGCGGTATACTAGATGACAATGAATGAATGTCATGTAGATCGTTTATGTTTAAGAACACTGAATGATATGGGATAGCAATAAAACACGGGAAAGCATCGAAAAGAAAAAAGTACTGATGTGAGGTTAGGGCTATGGGGTCTCCGCTACGGCAGGGGATAGTGGCCAACTTATTCTCCTATGAGGAAGAGACTTGAAACAAAAGAGGCGTGGTTCTATTGACGAATGCTAATAATACCATGGGGAAAAAACATGTAAGAAACGAGTTAGTGCTAAAGAAAAAATAAACAAGGATTCCTATACCTACAATCAGTGTGAGACACTTGACATTTCTTGAACTAATAGAGGAAAGAGTACTTATAGAATTTAACACTCACAAGGCATCATGAAGGAAAGGGAACAATGAGATTAGCGCGTAACCTAATTAAAGAGTTTGTGAGAGGACATGACAGATAGAGAGACAAAAATTACTCAAAATACAGGAGATCGTGAAGAGCCATGACCACTAATGTCCTACACGGTCGTGGCATATAAAAGAAGAGGTGTCAAAATATAGTGACAATATCATTAGTCCTAAGTGTATTCTACAGAGAGATGTTAAAACCAGTTTAATGGATTGTATCGCCTAAATATCTGGGTCGTGATAGCATTAAAATACATTATTTATTTTTATGTCTAATTTATACGACTCGTGTACAATTGCAAATAAACTAGAATATACGGCCGGAAGATTATGCTTAAGACTATTACTACAGCTAATACTATTACTACTACTATGACAACCTATGTAAGCTGAAACAAAAATTAGTCAAAAATGGATAATAATGTTTAATCCAATAACTTCTGTTACCGTTAAAATATTATATCTGCTATTATTACTTGGGCAGGAAAATGAAGACAGTGATACACACACTATAATCTGTTAATTTAAGACTAAGGCCGGTTTAACATGGGATCTCTGAGCCCATGGGATCGGCTAAAAAAATGCCCTTTGAACCCGTATAAACGGGTTCAGGGTCGGTTTACCTCCCCAAAAGAGATTCCGCCCTTCGGCGTAGCCTCATTCGGGTTCCTACCCGCCCAAAGGTAGAGTTCAACCAATCAGCCGGTCAGCCGGTCGTCCGACTTGGGACTGAACGGTATTTATTCACCCCCCCACGAGGGCATCATGTGGCACAAGGCCCGTTTAACGTGGGATCTCCGAGCCCGTGGGTTCGGCCAAAGATATGCCCTTTGAACCCGTATAAACGGGTTCAGGTTCGGTTTACCTCCCCGAAAGAGACTCCGCCCTTCGACGTAGCCTCGTTCGGGTTCCTCCCCGCCCGAAGGCAGAGAGTTCAACCGATCAGCCGGTCAGCCGGTCAGCCGGTCGCCCGACTTCGGACTGAACTCCCTGCTTCCTCTTGAGGCGCAGTATTTATTACGTATGAAATAGTCCATTATGTTATTATGAGTAAGGTCCCATAACAATAATTAATTATCTCTCTCTCTCTCTCTCTCTTGATATATATCTTGTGTCTGAGTATTTAGGCAGTAAATGTTTGTAAAATAATTTAAGATATGTTCGTTACAGCCGATGAAGAAGAGATATTACTACCCGTAATGCAACATTGAGTAGTATATAATAATATTCGAGCCTAAATATAGAACACCCGCGTACTAAGGATTGCGTTGATGTATAAAACCTCAAATTTCTCTCGTTTAATGTTGACCTTTTGTATTTACATGCCCTTGATCACTGATATTGTTCAATTTACCCATAAATATAGCATACCTTAAAACTACATTTGTAACATATATACTTATATTTATATCCAAACAAGTTTGATCAAAAAGAACAGAAAAGGTAATTTTTATTATATATTTTTCAAGTTTCGAGAGTGTTAGTATTGCGTTCGAAGTTGCGGATAAACTGTTCAAAGTTCATATTTTGTTATTTTTGTTCAACAGCTTTCGACTTTCGCAGTCATTATCAACCTCATGTGAGGTTGTTAGAATCCCTTTGTCTGCATCGTGGTAATCTATGGGAAACTAGACGTTTGAAATTGTCTAGTGTGACGTCATGTTTAATGGCTATTGGGAACGAGGCCGCACAAATAGACTGCGATTTATTTATGTTAGTTTTATTTTTTATTATAATGCTGATAAACTGTACGCGCATATTAATCCTATCATATGCACTTCAACATACTTTCTCCTGTAGTGAATGATATTTTTATTTAATATGGTAGTGTTTATATTTTATAATAACAGCTTCTAAATTTTTGAGTCATTTCTTGCATTGGCTGCTGCAGAGTATTCTGATGTTGTCTACGAGTATTTCTCTATATATATATATATATATATATATATATATATATATTTTTTTTGTGTATATATATATATATATACACACAAAAAAAAAAAAATATATATATATGTTTTTTTTGTGTGTATATATATATATATATATATATATATATATATATATATATATATATATATATATATAAATTTTCTAAATCTTCGCTTGAGGATGAAACAGGGCTTGATAATTTAGTTCAATTTAGTTTTAATAATTATATTGAGGTTTTCGGGTCTCGTTTTTTGAAACATGAGAACTCTTATGTAGCGGAGGAATCATATTTTTTTTTAAATAATAATTATAATTTAAGCTCTACTTCTGTATGGATCACTGTTTTTAAAAATAAAAACAAAAATACTAAAGGACCCCGGATTATTTACGTAACGTGTTCTTACCTATTTTTCTGCATATTTGCACACACACACGCACACAGATGTGTGCGTGTGTTTTGATTGGTCATTCTAGCTTTTGTAACAGCGTTTTCCCATCAGAAAGGATCGTTTATTAATATGAAACTTTTAAAACCATTTATTTTACATTCAACATCATCACTTGATAAGACACTGGAGGTGTTGAAACAAAATGGCTATGTTTGAAGTGATTTTATAACATATTTATGTTATAATCTTTAAATAAATACTTATATATATATATATATATATATATATATATATATATATATATATGATCGAAATAAAAGTGTAAAATTTAATATTATAAGACATATTAAAACAATATTAAATAATTAAAAAAAACTCAACAACAAGGGGGGGGAAGCAACCGGTTTCGCTCCCGCTCATCAGGCTTCTACGGGAGATTCAAAATTAAAACAGAGAAAGGTACAATCAGAATAGGTGGGAAAAAAAATACATATATATACGTATATATACCTGTATATATGCAAGAAGGAACTAGAGGCAGATGACAGCGAGTCCCAGCAAACACTCACGTTGTTTGCACAAAGAAGGCTTGCGGGACCCGATGTAAAGCTTGCTTCCCCCCCTTGTTGTTAAGGTTTTTTTTATTATTTAATATTGTTTTAATATGTCTTGTAATATTAAATTTTACACTTTTATTTCGATCATTAAATTTTGTACCTACAAAAATATCTTTAAATATATATACATATATATATACAGTTGTGTGTATAGATTCTTTTTAACATGTGATCATCACATATATGAATAAATTGTATATAGAAACGGATAGAGACAAGCATTTCTTCATTCCGCCAATAACCAAACCACCTAAAATGTTTAGACTTATTTCAAAAGAAGCCTCTCCTAATGATTCTCATATTCAAATCTTGGGACAATGGCATCTAGCAATAAATGACGCATACTCTCCCACATTTCTCACCAATTGACAAGTTTTCCTTTTTCTTGTTGAAATTTTTTTTCAAAGCTTCAATTAAAGACCAGACATCTTAATTTTTATGCACACGGGTCAGCCGAAGCAGTTGGCTAAAATGTATGCTGTTGCACATTTGTGCAATTGTGTTTGTGTACATGTGTCTGTGTGTGTGTGTACTTAATCTGTAATCGTCATCATTTTACGATAATCGATCTTAAAACCAAACAATTCATTAAAACGGGAGTTCATTAATTCTCTCGTAAATCCTCAAATTAGCCAAATACTAAAGTCGCCTTAATTCAAGTTAACAGAACTTTGAGACTGTTATCTCACAAAAAAAGGAGAATAATTGCAACGAAGTCATTAGACTGTACGTAATTCACCATCTTAACCACTGATTCATTGTGATGATGTTGCATAACGCGATGAGAAAAGCACCCGGTACAAAACGTGTCAGGAAGTAAGCCACTATTTTTATCGCGCCGATAGACTTTTTTTGGCGCGGATTTTAGACTACATTTTTTTTTCTCTTTCTTTTTTACTTTCTGATTCCCATTGCAAAACCTCATAGAATTTTGATAGAAAGAGTGTCAGAAGGCAAAAATGATTGGCTAATGAATTTTAACACCTTCTCTAATCAGATTTGACAAAGATCTTTTATGGTTCGTGTTAGTATTTAATGAAATCGATGGAAGCAAAGGTGTCTCTATCTACTCGAAAGAGAGAAAAAACTAAAACGTACATATGCAAAACCGAGTTCTTATTTGCTTAGTCACTTCCGACAACACATTTTATCAACGCGACTTTCACTTCCTTGATCAAATTTATTATTTACAAATGTATGCGATGAATTCTCTCGAACACACACACGCGAATAAACACACGCACAGACAATTATCACATACACATACACACACACACATAGATATTGACAGAGATAAGAAAGGCTGAGATGTTCAGGTACATCAATAAATGTACAAAATGATGAAAAACTTTTAATTTACGCGCAAATATTTGTTTCCTTTTTAAATACAGTACATTCAGTGGTCAATATTAATCAGGCCGATCGAAATTATGCAGTGAACATTACAGATTAAATTTCCGCTAATATACACGTCTAAAACTAAAGATTTAAGAAATCAACCTCGTAGATAGATAGATAGATAGATAGATAGATAGATAGATACGAATAAACTGAAATATACAGATGAGAATAAATTGAGATAGATAGATAGCAATGGACTACGATAAATAGATAAATAGATAGATAGAGAGAGAGAATGAGATAGGAATAAGTTGAAATAGATAGATAGATAGATAGATAGATAGATAGATAGATAGATAGATAGATAGATAGATACGAATAAACTGAAATATATAGATGAGAATAAATTGAGATAGATAGCTAGCAATGGACTACGATAAATAGATAAATAGATAGATAGAGAGAGAGAATGAGATAGGAATAAGTTGAAATAGATAGATAGATAGATAGATAGATAGATAGATAAGTATAAACTGAAATGATAGATCGATAGATAGATTGATGAGTATAAACTGAAATGATAGATCGATCGATATATAGCTAGATGAATAAAAATAGACTGAGATAGATAATGATTAAACTGAAATAGATAGATAGGAATAAGCTGAAATAGATAGATAGATAGATAGATAGATAGATAGATAGATAGATAGATACGAATAAACTGAAATAGATAGATGAGAAGAAATTGAGATAGATAGATAGATAGATAGATAGCAATGGACTACGATAAATACATAGATAAATAGATAGAGAGAGAGGGCATGAGATAGATAGGAATAAGCTGAAATAGATAGATAGATAGATAGATAGATAGATAGATAGATAGATAGATAGATAGATAGATAGATAGATGAAAATAATCTGAGATAGAGAGATAGATACGAATATAAATATATAAATCTAAATATCGTTACAAAAAGCATAAGACAGAAAAAAAGAGTTCAATGCACCAATCATCCTAATGTGTTGAACTTTTTGTACCCAAAATGCTATTAATTGCCTCGAGGAATGGCATTAATAATTATCGCCATCATCTGAAATAACGACCACTACGTTAGAAAAGTAAAAACATCTATTTCACCTACTGCCACACAAGAGTCACATATCCAGGCGGAATCTGGAATGTTCTCAGCCTGACAAAGAAAACATCCGACAAAAAATTAATGTTTGGCCATTAGGTCTGATTTCGAGAAGTGGGTCGAGATGAAAAATTTACTAAGAGCACTATGAATGTGCTGCCCGAATTATTTACATGATTGATAAATGTTCAAATTTCCCCAGTACTCTAATTATTTTATATTCAATGAATACAAAATATTATATAAGTTGTCGAATTCATTTTCCCTACTGATAACTTATGCCATCATGTACCTCTATTGAGCATATAGCTAGAATTCAGGGAGACTTTGATTCATATCTTTACTAAGGATATTAGGGTTAAGTGAACACAGACTGACACGAATTGTTAACTTGGTTTACCAATTCCGTTTTCTCCAGCCTGTAAATGTTATACTATATATAACCTGCATTAGATACCTATCTAAAAGGCAAGGTATATAGATTCCTGTGATATCCATAGTGAGCCTAAGCAGTCTTGACATGAAATCGAATACTGTTCCTTGATTTCGTTTGTTTATCTAGGTACCCTTTTGTAAATATCTGAAATTCAGAGGAGTGTAATTTCATGACTTTTGACAGGGTATTATTGATAGCATAAGCAACCTCGACGTAAATTTTAACACGTTCCGCCGTCTCTGTAATGACAATTTGTCTGTTAATTTGTACAGTCTTTATGCAAAATTGTGTTTGCAAATATTAACACATTGATGTAAGTCAAGAGTAACTGTTCCCGCCAAGCAAAAGCAACCAAATATTTTCTATTTGTTGGCGCTGTAGACATTTTAAGTTAATTTCAGTTTTCACACCTTAAAGTTAGATTTATTTTTCACATTTACATAAAAATATTTTCTTAATTAAATTTCATTCATCAGACGTTGTTTACTCCCAAATGACAAGGTATATTTAACCTCTTCGAAACAAACAAAACTTAATGCAAAGAAAAGTAACCTCAGTGGCACATTCAGTTTATGTTGTAATGCAAGTGAATCAACTCGGATACTTTTGGCGTCACCTGTCAAGGTAGGCAAGAAAGGTAACAGCAGCTTGCTATTTACATCTGGGCTCATAACATAGGTTATAAGAGTATTGTAGATCAAAGTGTTTTGTTCCTGCCACTGTCATGTCAGCATGTATTGCATTAGAAAACGTCGAACAACTGACGCAGAGCATTTTATGGGCGGGGCTGTGTATATGGGTAAAGTTTCACAAAAAGGGGCTGCCTACCGCAGTCTCATGGATTGACACAATCATGTAAATATTCAAAATATGTGTGGGGTGGGGTGTACGCTCATCATGCAGACGCAAAAGAGTCCCCGAATTGCGTTCGGACATGTCTATCTAAGCCAATTTCATCCAGGTTTTCCTGGTAGCGGCAGAACAGCTTGGCATGTCCAGATACTGGCCTCTCTGTAGATGCTGTTAGTTTTCTTTCCCCTTCTTTGTTATTCCGTAGTTCTTGGAACTGTAATCACTTAGGTATTTCCCCCAACCTCAACGCACCCTGGCCGTATTTTGCAATACACACACACAAACATACTTATATATATATATATATATATATATATATATATATATATATATATATATATATATATACACGTATGTGTGTATGACCTGATCAAACAAGACAAATGGAAACTGAGGACAATACTATCAGTAACAGTCTGGTTCACGTTGAATGTAATATTAGCCGCACGCACACCCACACACACACACGCACACACACATATATATATATGTGTGTGTATGTATATCCGTGCGTGTTGCTAAGATTGCATTCAAGCGTGAACCAGACTGTCCCTGGCTCTTCCTCACTTTCCACTTGTTTTGTTTATCAGGAGTCCCTACGGTACCGAGAGGTGAAGGCATGTACAATCGAATGACTGTTTCCCCTAGGGAACGCAGGTTCAAATCCTGTTGGAGGACTAATATTTGTCTAACAGCATTTCTTGAATATTCGGGTCGGTAGATGGTAATAAGTAAATGTGCTGTTTAATAAAATATATGAAAACAGAGCATCTACACAACAATGAGTGTGCATTAAAAATAACATTTAAACAAATAAATTAATATATATATATACAGTGATTTTCCAAACGTAGCTTAGATGTGGCACAAGGCCGAAAGTAGGGGTACCCAACGAGGATTAATATATATATATATATATATATATATATAGGTAACTTACAGATTAAATGAATTTTCACTACATGTTACCCATTTTGCTACATGTTACCAATTTTCGCTACATGTTACCCATTTTCGCTACATGTTACCCATTTGTGGTTTCGTAATTTCGGTTTAACTTTAATGCAAAAAGAAAGCAATTTTAATATGCAGTTTTAAATAGTTTGGCACGCAATTAAAGCATCTTTTAGAGCAAGGATCGTCCGCTGAAACGAAACTAACCACTTCATTTTATTAAAAAAATATGTTTCAATATCTGTCTATATCTCTGAGATGAGGCATGAAAATTACTTGCATTATTTACATTATACGTACTGTTATCTTCATCCTTATTGCCATCTTCACAACATTTCGGCCGTTGTACGTTGTTCTACGTGACATGGCTCTTCGGGATGTCTGAGTTATTTCCCTTTAACTCAACACTTCAAAAGAAAAGAAAATATGATGTTGTTGTATGATAATTTCTTAGAGTAATGGATAACGGCACGGATTGAGGAATGGGAGGTCCGAGTTCGAATTCCAGTCGAATCCATTACATTCACTTATGTACTAATACCCTTGGGAAAGGTATGAATCCTCTTCTCCCTCCCTCACCCCAGCTATGGGTAAATATCAGGACAGACTGGGTTCTATAGCCTTGGATTGCAATTGGTCTACCACAGAAAGAAATGGCAACCTACTACGGGAAAAAATCTGACTGGTCAGTCATGTCTCGAAAGTTACATGATCGCCTATGCGTGTATCAGACATGGCACATAACTGACTGAAGCGCTTATTTTAGTCAAATTAAAAGCAAATAGCATGTAGTTACGTAAATTTTATTTTTTTTACATTAAAATATAGAGAAATATCTCATTTTAAGGTGTTTTTAAATAAATGCAAGGTGACTCTAAATCTTTTGGACTGTAGTGTATATATTCGGCCTCACTTGTGATTAGAGAAACCATAACCAAATTGGGCAGTTATTTGTGACCCCTTAATTATTTCAGTGTAGGTATTTTATGCATTTCGACAGCGCAGTTTTGAATTCAGAGCCATCATTTACCTAGTAGAGGAATCTAATTGAAACAATAAAACATATAATATATATTATTACACAAACCAGTGTGTTTGAAAATTTTAATTTTTTATATTTTCATTGTTCAATATATATATATATATATATATATATATATATATATATATATATATATATATATATATATATGTATGTATGTATATTATGTATATCTGGCCACACGTATTCGAGCATACCTGTCTATTAGGGCGGCTACCCAATCCCTATTGCAGACCTTTGGTCAGGCGCATTTGTGTTTATTCAATATCCATAGAGCTCGCCTATGGTTTATACTGCAACTATGCTGAGCAGACTTTATTGACAGTTTTTTTTATTGGCTTGATCAGCAATCCGAACTAGGCCAGCACGTTAAAGCCCTCGGCCACGATGACTTGTGACTTCGTGCTAGCACAGCTATCGACGGCACCCAAGTCATTCGTCTACCCAATTTCACTCACTAGCCTTGGGTCAACCGGTGGTATGGTATGTCTCCTTCCTGACAAATCGAAACTGGACCTCATTCTCAAAATGCAAACGTCCTAACCACTTGGCCCCTGTGCCCATCACACACACACACACACACACACACACACACACACACACATATATATATATATATATATATATATATATATATATATATATATATATATATAATTAAGAACTTGTAAAATCTGGGATGACCCATGCCCTTTATGCCGACATGAAAAACTACACATTATTAAGTTTCTAAATAATGAAAATTTATTAAACCATAGACATGAGTTAACGGTTTTTTGCCGACATCAACAAATTTTCGCATTAAATAATTAGCATAAAAAAATTTAATTTCATAGTCTAGTAAAAGATTTAAAAGCTTAACCCAAGCATAAGATAGAAAAACCCTTTATGAAGTCGTCAAAAAACAAATTGTAGTTCACTGCGATGCGTTTATATACGAAATATCCCTTTAGGAAAAATAAATAAATAAATAAAACAAAATTCACTTAACGGCATATTATGGTGCCAATAGCTATCTTTCGCTGTGACTAACCAGACGATGTGCATACATGAATGTCATCATTCGCTTTGAAATGGATACTCCCACCCTACCTCGGCTTGACTTCTTTCCGAAGGTGACTGATATGTGGATACAAATTATCTCTTAGACCCCTTACCAAAATGGTCGCCCCAGCCGTTTCTATAGTAATTAATTTTGCGAATGAACATGCTTAAATTTGGTCATTCCTAAATTTTCGCTTGAGGAGGAAACAGGTCTTGATACTTTAATTCAATTTAATTTTAATAATTATATTGAGGTTTTCGGCTCTCGTTTTTGAAACACGAGAAATCTTATGTAGCGAAGGAATCATTTTTTTTAAAACAATAATTATAATTTAAGCTCTAATCTGCATGGAGCACTGTTTTTTGTTGTTTTTTTTTTAAATAAAAACAAAAATAATAAAGAACTCGGATTATTTACCTAACGTGTTCTTTCCTATCTTTCTACATATCTCATATATATATATATATATATATATATATATATATATATATATATATATATATATGTGTGTGTGT